TCACTTACTGTTGTTCAATTCAAGGTGCCATGTCATGGCTGACACTCCATTCCTTCTGCAGACATCTTTGAATCTTAATTTGGAAAATATATTTAACAGAGGTTTGGAAAACGTGGTCACATAAAAAACGGAGGGAGATTTTACCGAAATGCTGTTACCAAACTTTACATCTGCACAGTTCTTACAGTAAATGTGTTCTTGTAAAAATGTTCAGTGTAAATTGTTAAAAGTAATTGTTGCAGTGTTAAAGTTAATTTCCTGCAATAAAATAAAATAATCCATGGGTTTAGAGAAAGTGTTGCAGTTTTAAAGCACATTTTCTGTAATTCTACACATTTTGCCATAACTTATGCCATATCCATATGATATCTGTGTGAGAGTGACTAACAAAATGAATGGGGGTCCCTGAGCACATGCCCTGCGTGCCCGGTCAGTAATTTGGTAAAGATTAGGCCTACTACAAGGTGTAGATAGCTGGCTAGACTACCTTACCTAGCAATCTAAAACATTTTAGCTGATGTAGCGTAATTGAGTAACTGACATAAGCGGAAAACTCCTGATGCACTACCAAATGTTTTACTCTAAACAGTAAGTTGAAACCCTGACTGAGTTAGGTGCGGAGACTGCGTATAGGCTATGCCTATTGCTACTTCTTGAACGTTTCCCCTCAACTATAAACTATATACACTACAGACATTTTTAATGCCACAGATACTGGACTGTTTTTCAGAAATATTTCATTGACAGTTAGCTTGAAATTATGTTCACAGCCTATCTAGTTAGATCGCTATGTAACTTATCCTTTACACAATTCTTCACCCGAACAAGTCATAAATGTTCGTAATAATTACAACTAACTTTACACAAAGTAAGATGTATATAATTCATTTTATGAGTGTATGCTCAGTACGCATACTGTATGTAGCCTACTGTAACAACATGCTATCTGTCAGGTTGACTCAGTGGCCCTCTTGACCAGCAGTGACATTACTGCATGGAGAGGTAGCAGCCAGCAGAGGGAAGAAGAGAGCTGGTTATCTGGGCAAGAGTTCAGGCAGGTGAGGTGAGCTACTTTTGTAGGCCTGTATTACCTGTTGGATCCCGGTCTATGCAAGATGGCGGCTAGTCACTTAGTAGTTCGTTGAAACCATCACAAACTTTCTAATAGCGCGTCCATTTACCTGTTGATGACTAGAGTGGTTGTTAGTTGTTGTTTCCCAAGGAATAGGCGATCTTCAAGAGAACAATGGTCTAAGAAGCCTGCCCATTGTGCTAGGCCTGCATCGTACAGGCCTTCTCTTTCTAGATTCAATCTGAAAAAATCTGACTTTTGTCATCTCTTCTGATTAGGCTACATGCTTTAGTTATTCATCAGTCGATCAGAAAAATAATATCACTATCTTTGATATTAGATTGGTTTAGTCAACCTTTGAAATCTGAAGTACAAACTGACCTTGAAAACAAATGCATTTTGACTGAAGTGTGTCATTTCCGGTGGCGTGAAAAGGGCCTATGGAGTATTAGGTAGATTACAGTGTAGCCTAAGTCCATTTTTACAACATGAATTTAAGATTCATAAAACAAAAAATTAAATGTAGGCCTAAGGGTTAGGAAAGATATGCGGCTTGGGTATTTTTCGGGGTTGTAGGGGTCATGCAGCTCACTCTCAGCGATGCACGTTCCTTCCCAGCTCCTTGTTCCCGCGCATGATGAAAGCTTCCATGTTCTGAGCCAAACCTGAGCCTGTGTTCCCCTCGGAGTCTCTCGAGCCAAACCCCTCAATCAAATTATATTCATATTCTGTAAATAGTTTGGCTGTGCAATGGGAATATGTATTGTACGCAGAGGAAATCTGACTGTGATTATATGGTGACGATGTCTCAGAACACACGTCATGTCAGTCACCATAATTGTTGTTTTGGTCGGTACCCGGCGGCCTCTCGCGTCTCTGGGGCTGAGGAAATTAAAATGCTAATTCATCCACTACCAACCATGCCGGTTTACACGACCCAAAATGTTTATCTCATAATAATTAGCTTTCTTTGAGAGAAGAAAGAATGGGGTTGATCTTTAGGATGTGTTGCAAGAAAATTGACATTTATGTGGCATTTAGTCTATATAAGCTTCCTGTTTTCAGGCCCAGGCTACACACACTAGGCCTAGCTAACATAAATTTGTTTGATATCCAAACATGGTGAATGAGTATTTATGATTTTAAAATGTACTCATTTTAAAATTCAGATGAACAAATGTGTGACATAGCCTACCATTAAGTAAATTGAAATGGCTCTAAGGTCAATTGATTATGTTCATAATGATAGTTGACTGTAGGCTAGGCTATTACAGTGCTTTGTTTATCCTATGGCTGGTACATCTGTATTTAAGAGACCATATAGTTCAACTGACTTAATCACACAAACACTGGATTCTCTCAGTCAACTAGACTCTCACTGTGTGGAATCTCCACAACTCAGGACATTCTTTTGGTTGTTCACCCGAACCACACACTGTTAACAGCTGTGCCTTATTCCACTCAACCTCTTCAGCTCGGGAGTTTTCTGTGCAAAGCCCAATCCAAAACCTCTCATTAATATAAGGTCTGTGATCATATAGCAGTGACAGTAGGACAAAGAATGTGGACGGTCATGGGAAGAGACAAGAGGGAAACAGCGAGAGAAGGGGAAACAGAAGGAAGGAGATCGAAAGGACAGAGACAGAAAAGAGAAAGACTGATAATGAGAGAAAGAAAGTGAAGAAGAGTAGATATAGAGTAATGTATGAAGGCTGAAGGGGATGGTACACCCTCGCTCTCTTACTCCCTCTTGCTCTCTCTCTCCCTCTCTCACACACACACACACATACACACACACACACACACACACACATACACAGACTGTCTCTCCCCCCCCTCTCTCTGACTGTCTCCTCTGTAATGGGCTCCAGATGTGGAGCTGAGGGGGGGAGTGGAGGAGGGAGGAGGGGGGAGCTGCTTGTATGTCATCTGCGCGGGTGTAGAGAGAGACGCCCATCCGAGGGGACGTTGTCAGGCCTGATGTAGTGGCCAGGGCCTGGGGCGAGGGGTGCGGAGGACGAAAGGCGACGAGGGGTACAGGGGGCGCGGGTTAGAGAGGGCTGAACATCTGGAATCACTTCAGGTCAGCCTGTCCTGGCCGTGAAAGGTGAGCCAGGGCGCCACTTTGGTGTACGGACATGCCACGGCCATGCACCCCTGACACCTAGTACTAAAAAACCAATACAGCCAAACGCAAACCCTAACACTCCCTGAAAATAATAACTTTCTCATACACACCAAGGTGTAGTAAGGACAAGGTGTGAAAAGGCTTGGACCGCACAGCTGAGATGTCAAACATCAGCAGTTTTACGGCAGGATGTTCAGCATCAAGTTAAGTCATCTTGTGTTTGTTTACAACAGGTAATAAAGGGCCAGTGAGTAGAAACACCTCTCGGTGACAGCCGCTGAGCACAACGAGGCCACTGGGCCCCCAGTATTAGAGAGAGGATTTCCCTCCTCATAAATATCCGCTTTTTAAAGATGGAATATTTCAGTTTGTAGTAATCAGCAGATCGGGAACAGCTTGAGGTTTGGAGAGTAGCATTATTCTGAAGCAGAAGTCTGTCTCCGGGTTATAAAACACTTTTAAGAGGACTTTGCACAACATCCAAAACCCCATTTTCTCTCCAAACAGCCACTACTATAAAGGTACTCTTTCTCTTAAACAAAGCCAATGTTTGAAATGGCCTCTGTTGCAGTGGTCGAATGTAAATTAGACTTGCTGTTACGGTTATTTTAAAGTATGAGGGTTCTCTGTGGATAAGTCCTCTTTGGATAAGTCCTCTCTTGAGTCATACAAAGATCAAATTCACCATCGTAAACAGTTGATATGACTCACTTTGGTTACTCAATAGCTCATAAAACATTGTATTCTGAAAATAACATTATAAAATGTAAAATTATTTTAAAAGCGACCACATCTTTATAACCATTTAAATACTTTATATCTCATGTAGATATCATGGATATCAACCCAACAGTGGCATTACTTTGCTTGAAATGTATTTTATTCATGTACATGATTATCTGTTACAAATAAAGGATATCATACCAAGATTAAGAGAAACTATAGTCTTGGATTCAGAAATAGGTTACATTAGCCTTTCCGGTATAGTGAACCATTACATGAATCAAAATGCGTCGAAATGAACGTTTGCTTGTCAGTGGCATAAAATAGAAAGATATGTGAAAACTACAATTCTTTAAATGTATAAATGTTTGCAACCTCCCAATTTGCATGGATATGTCCTTGTTGTTGTTTGTTGTTGTTGTTGATCAGAAAGTTGCTCATCCCATTCTGGTGTTATAATCCTATTGATCAGCTCTATTATAAAAAGACATTCCATTTGAAAAGTAGCCCATACTGGTTTCTCCTTCTCACCCCTAGCAAGGCACTGTGAGTCAAACTATAGATGGACACTGACAGTCAGATGTATTTTGTCAGGGTCTGAGAGAACACCTCTCCATTGATATCTTTGGAAATTAGCCTTTCATTCAGTCAACACCAAACTGAAAGAAATAATAAAAACGGTCAGTTTCTACTACAGCATCCACTCCCAGTATCGGTGTCTTTGGTGTCATTGGAAGGTACAGACAGCGTCAGTTCAGCGATGCTCAGGACAGGAGAGAGGCAGCTCACAGAAACAGCCTCTCAGATTTCCCCCGCGTCGCTTGCTTTCTCATCTGATGCTTCGGGTATGAGGACAGTATAGGAAGCATGTCCATCACTATAGCGGCGACGCTCTGGAGCGAGAGGAGACTTCAAGCTAAAATTCCATGGTGGGCGGTCAGATCTTGATCATCACTGTGGGGGCCAGGCTGGGGTCTGACTGTCTTTCTGTGTGGGACAGACGTGAGAGAGAGAGAGAGGGGGTCCCTGCTCCTGCCCCCACCCCCACCGTGAAGCCTCTCTCTCCCCCCTCTCTCCTCAGTTGACCGTGGGCACCTGGTTCAAGCTGTACTCCTTGGCTTTGAGCCGCAGGTTGGCGATGCTGTTAGCCATGTTCATTCCCTGGGATGTATTGGGGTTGGAGCATGTGGGGGGGTAGGTTGCCATGGTACTGGAGGAGAGAACGGTACAGAGGGAAAAGGTCAGATAGAACTGTAACCAGTGGCGATCGAGCCAACATGGCAGTATGAGTTCAACTAAAATAGCATCGATTTTAACATCACAAAACTCATAATGAGGAAAAACATAAAATGTGTTTAATTGTTCATGGCTTTGAAAGTCAAGATGTTGGCAGTGTTTTTAATGATGGCAATGTTTTTAAAAAATATGAAGACTTAAAAAATAATAGAACCACATGTAGTAAAGTGAAAGAGTACTTGCTTTCTGAGGGCAGCATTTTCTGTGGTACTCGCATTGGCCCTCCCTCCGGCATTGGGTACCAGCTTAATAAGAATATATAAATGGTGTTTAAACGTATGTGTTAGCACGACCACATTAGTGTGATATTATTCACTGGTATTACTTCTGGTCATGTGACTATCCACTAGTGCATTCAGCCAGGCCAGAAAGTGTTCCCCACTGAGGTCCAATTGGAGAATGGAGCTTTTGGCTGTAGCAACCGAGTCAAACATTTTATACTGAGTTTCATAAGGGGGGGATTACCGTAAATCACAACCAATGTAACCAGAGTCACAAAAAATCCTGCCCAGTGGAGCCTGCTGTTGCTCTAATGTTCATTATTTGGTATTGTATTGCAGAGAAGGTCGCAAGGGTCAACAGTGGATTTAATACGGTTTGTTTTCAGATTATCACCTCCTCATGAGGGTCATTGGATCTCGCCCCATCCCTTGTGTCAACAAGAATTGAGAGAAGGAAGAAAAAGAAAGAGAGAAAGACTGACCTTTTTACAGATACTCTATAGATCTCGAAATAGGACTAGATCTATATTGTGCATTGCCACCATAGATTATACAAAACATTCATGCATAATGGTTTGGAAATATAGGTCTGCGATAGCAACTGTTACAGACAGGGTATCATTAAAGTATAAGGAAAGTCCTTGGAGAGAGTGTAGAACTGGAGAAAATAAAATGAGAGAGAGAGAGGAGAGAGAGAGGAGAGAAAGAGAGAGAGATAAAGAGAGGGGTGGGGGGCTGACTGAATTTTACCACTGAAACTGTGATAAACAAGGCCATGCTTTTCTAACATTACTTATAACACAAATCCCCAAAACAAAACACATTATAAACTAAACCTGACTATTGTTTATCAAAGCCAAGGTTGAATACAGTGACAGTTCCCTTGGATCCAGGCGGCAGGCGGACCAAAAGAGGGATCTGTAGGGGTTAGTGTAAATATGAGGAGTGTGTACAGCTGAGATGAGGAGGAGGAGAAGGAGGAGGAGGAGGAGAAGGAGGAGGAGGTGGAGGAGGTGGAGGAGGAGGAGGAGGTGGAGGAGGTGAGATGTAAAGGGAAGAAATGAAACAACAACAGACAGCAGTGGGGTATTATGGAAGGGAGATGGGGTTGGAGGGTAGGGGTCGTGGGGTGTTAGTGAGGGGAAAGGGGGTTGGAGATAAGGGATGGTGGGGTGTTATGGAAGGTTTGGGGTTGGAGGTTAGGGGTGGTGTTTAGGAAGGGGTGGTAAGGTTAGATGTGGTTATTGCTAGAGGATGGGGTGGGTAGGGCAAGAGAGGGAGCCTGGGGTGTGTAGGGAGGACGTAGGGGGGTCAGGACAGGGGCGAGAGGGTCTACCTGTAAGGAGAGGCACTGCCCCAGGACAGGTAATCATTTGGGCGGGGGGCAGGACGGGGTACGATGGGCTGCTCCACGGCCGTGACGTCCCCGGAGTAGGACTTGAGGAGTGAGGCGTTCTTGCTGGCCAACATGGCACGCTCATTCCGACGAAACTTTGCCCTTCTGTTCTGAAACCACACCTGGAGAAAAACAGCAGAATGTGAGCGAACATTCTCACTCAAGGAATTAATCTGCAATGGACCCTCGAATGAAAGCAGTCCAATTGATAATTACAATAATTATAGATGTATAATTTACAGTAAATAAACATATTTGAATACCTTTTATAAATCCTTTACGATATACATCTATGTAAATTGTCACGCATATCTTTATAAGGTATTTTAGAACTTATATCATATCTAGCTCCTAAATGTAATGATATTAACTACTTCTCCATGACATCCATGTTATATTTTTTACAATGTGTAAAATTGGTTTACATGCATGTTCGAAATGGCAATTTTTCAAACCTTCGTTTATATCTATAGATAATGTAACACTCAGCCGTATCTCTCAGCATGATGAACAAATACTGTCCCTTCAACAACCAAACTTTCTCACAGTGCTTCGAGCCTGTGATACTCAACCACACACACACACACGTTTTGTTCATCACGCACACACACACTCTTTCACACACACACACACACACACACACACTGCCACACGCCTCCTTTATTAGTAGATCAAGGGCCTTACTGGGGTTACTAATAATGGCGTTCCACACTCTGAAATCAAATCCATTATTTAACGCTTTGGGAGCGCTGAGGCTCTTGGAGGCATAGGATCTGCTTACGCACTGCCTCAGGAATGAGCCCGAAGTCTCTTTTATCAAAGGATTTCTGCATCTCACTCTGGTACGCATTAATCGCAGATGTGTTCGCTCTCTCTCTCCTTCTCTCTCTCTCCCTCCCTCCCTCTCTCTCTCTCTCTCTCTCTCACACACACAAACACACACACACACACACATACACAACTGTACCATCAATATCTACCTGAGATCATTGAACAATGTATAGGTATCATACATTATCTGGTCCGATTTACATAAATAGCCTTCAATGTCCTATTGGTCCTATTAGTTTCCATAATGAGATAACACAGGAGCCTAAGTGCCTGGGGATCACCTATTAGGATTATGCTGAGGAGTCTTTCTTATGATGAGATAACATAAGGACCCACAGTCACCTGACGCTGTTAGGATTACAGTGTTGACTACTGGGGTGTTGTGGTCCTCTGTGGCTCAGTTGGTAGAGCATGGCACTTGCAACACCAAAGCTGTGGGTTCTATCCCCGATGGGGCCACCCTTACAAAAACGGCATGCACACATACAAAATCGCTTACTATAGTCCTACCTGCACCCGCGCCTCTGTGAGGTTGACCCTGCGTGCCAGGTCCTCTCTGACGAAGGCGTCAGGGTAGTGTGTCCTCTCAAACACTCTCTCCAGAGCCTGTAGCTGGCTGCTGTTGAATGTAGTTCTGTTCCTCCTCTGTTTCCTCTTCTTCTTCTCCTCCGCATTCAGCTGCTCATCTACAACACAACAACAACAACATGGTCAGATGCAGGAAATAAGAAAAGAACTGTAGACATCCAACTTTGCACTGGCACAGGATTAACTATCATCTAAATATAGAGAAAAAAGTAAATGTCCACTCACTGTTTGCTGCCTGCTCCGAATATATATTTTTTTGATAAACGTTTGTTTATGAAATGTATACACATACATGTTCACACAGACAAACACACTACCATGTTTTGACTATGATTGTTTTTAGTGTGTCAAAACTCTATTTGAGTGGTCCACGATGTGTGGTTTTTTCAGTATTTTGTATTGTAAATGATTGCGTCATTGTTGAGGGACACTTTAATAAATGTTTCTGACTGTGTATAATATACTGAATACAGGCACACACAGGCATACAGTACACATAAACAATTTTTTTGTCAAGATCACCATATTGTCATCAAGTGTGTCCACTGTGTACTATTTTCTACAACCCTTGTGGCAACATGGCCAGTTTGTTGTCATCATATTGTGTAATGAGAGAGGGAGAGAAAAGGCTTTTCAATCAGCAACTATATCTGCTTTATTTCTCTTCTCAGAGGATGTATGACCTGACCTCTTCTATGATCTTATTGTGTTGAGCATTACAGCCAGTTCTACTGTTGCTACAGTCATGTATTAATAAAAAGTAACCCTACACATATTTTTTTGCCAGATAGTTGCAATTTCATGCTGAATGACAAAAATGTACTGTTCCCACAATACATGGAGATGTGATTTTTGCCCATCCATTGTAGAGGAAGCCCATGATGAATGTGACATTATTAAGCCTTTCTGAATGCACCCAACAACTGCCCTAGTGTATCATTGAAGGCCTAATCTCATAGCAATAATAATTCTGTTGCAAAGCAACAACGCACACACATTTGCACTTTTACACACACATTGTGTATGTCATTGTGTGAAACAGAATGGAGTATATTTTGTACTTTATATTTTTCTTTATTTTACCAATAACATTATCTTATCTAAAGTTAGGAAAGACTCAGTAAGACCCCAACATTTATTTTGATGTGCATAATAAGAATGCATGCTAGCCTATAGCGCAGGCCTAAAATAAAATATTAAATCCGTATCTTATCCATATCGACATTTTAAATACATATGTTTAATATCAGGAATATACAAATATCAAGAATATAACCGGACAGACTAATAATAAAAAAACAGATTGCGCACTGTCCACATTGGGAACACAATTCCAGTGCTAATTCGCGTATCTTAACCATAGGATATTGTTAATCTGAAACCAAATTGTGAATGCTGTAAAGTTACAATGCACTCATTTAAATATGGTATTTCGTTGTAAACTAATAATGAAAGAAGAAAAACTTCTAAGTCAAGGTCAAAAGGGGATAGCAGCAGACCACACGACAGGTCTTAAAGGCTAGTTGTGTTATTATTGTGTTATTAATATGAATTATATGGAAAATGGCCTTCAAAAATATTTTTTTATAAATTTAGCCTGGAAAAATTAAATATACACTATTTTCACAACACGACTGCCATAATATTATAATAAACGTAGGCTCTTTTTTTTAGATACTATTTTGCGGAATTTTTTCGTTGCCAAAAAGGCTAATGTGTCATTTCGAAATGACAAATTAAACCATTAGGCCTAATTGAAAATCGATAGGCTAATTCTGCACAAGGAACAAATGTTTGTCCCTGGTATAGGAATTAGTTTAAACCATGTTTTTATCATGGGAAGGCTTAAAACATAATCATCTGAAAACATTCGGCCAAAAGTGCAGTTATTGTTTTCTTACTGAAAAATTGAGAGATGCTTCACTGGAGGCTGACCTAGCACACTTTCAACAACGCTTTTAGGTGGTAAATGGGGTGAAAAACATTGCATTTCAGCAGATGGTTATAAATCATGTGGATTTAAGCCATAACCAAATTATAGTAGTCTCGAGCCTACTGCGAGGTGACCCCATGCACAATTCGTTTAGGGAATCGGTCAAAGCTTGTGTGAAATTGATGGTAATATATTTTCAAAGTGAGAGAATTCACTACGATGATTTATTTATTGGCTTTGCTTGATGGTAATTATCCAAGCTATGTGCTCCTCCTAATATCACAACACGAGTTTGGACACGGGTCCAAACATTACACAAACATCCAACATGATTAATTATGGAACATATTTATTCTTGACAAGCAGATCGAATGAGGTTTTGTTATTTGATCCCGTAATTGTCAGAGCCATGTCTAGCGGACAGATCAGATAATTATGACAAAATGATTATGTATAAATATTCTGACGTTGTTTGACAAGCGAAATAGCTTTGAATTAACGACATCACCTCGCGCCTTCCCTTACCCATGTTTCTAACACACCTCTCCTCGAGGTCCGATTTACCCATATAATAACAATAACAGTCATTAAACCCTAACGTTTCTGTCAACCTCTCCAAATGACTCTGGATTTGAGGGCGTATCACCCGGAACCTGACGGGTTTATTTACTCTCTCAACGGGCATGGCTGAGTGAGAAAGAACCGCTGTGATATTTTGCTTTTACTGGGGTCTATTCAAGTTTACTTCAGTCTCCTCAATCGACCTTTTAAAAGAGTCATAGACAAACCACAGTTCAGGCTATCCTGACTCATTTGAAGTCATCTAGGCAGTCGTGGACGGCTCAATGGTAGTGTTTTGATTTATTATTGTAAAGGTTGACTTATTTTACTGACCATATCCACCAACATCGCCATACTTCGTTGACATCAAAGTGTTAATGGTAAATGAATGGCCGTTTTTAGTGTAGCCGTCAGAAATGATATATTACCACGAGTCACGAAGGATTCCTTCCATGCCCGCGATAGTTTCAACAGAAGAAGGCTGGCCAAGACTTAATAAAAATAAATTAAAGTAGCTTCCAGTAGCCTATGTCATGGTCATACAATTCGTGGCTCCAAAGAGTCCCACTTAAATTACAGATGGCGCACACCAAAATGGGTTCAACCCTCAAACCATGCGGATTATTATTCTCAGAGTGTAGCCTGCATTTGCTAATGGAGCCTAATAACCAATTTCTGCGTTAAGGTTAATGACAACCCCAGTCCCGAGTGTATAGGCTGCACTTGGAGTGTACTTCTCACTTACTCTCCTGCTGAGTGGTGTCGCTCCCACTGGTCAGCCCAGGGGACTCCAGCATATTCCTCCCCGCCTCACCGACACTCTCGTCAGCCTGGGTCCCAACCCTTTCCCCGGCCTCCTCCAGGTCCAACAGGTGGCTCACCGAGAAGTTCTTTTTGGCTTGAAGGTTTTCCAGATTGGATGTAATCGAACTCTCCAAACGATTTGATATCGTTGCTTGCCTGTCCATTACATGTGCATAGCTAGAAGTCATGACGCAAATAGGATGCAGTAGAAAAAAAGAAAAAAAAGAGCAATAATAAATAATAAGCGAGCCAAATTGATCCCAGAACTCACGAACAGGAACAGCGCCTCCAAACCAGCAGAGAAACCTACGTTTTCCAAGCTAAGCAAAGTTGCTGCTCACATCCAGACGGAACAGTGGTGGTAAAGCAAACTTCTACAACAGAGGAGAAAAGTTTTTCTCCTCGTTTGTTTCCCCGATCACAAATCTCTACGCATCTGGTCCATCCATACACGCGCATAAACAACAAATATAGGTCACCATATAAAATCACAGCATCCTGCAGCTGGGTTTTCAAGAAGTCCTCTTAAAAAGTCCTGTCCCACTTCCCACTTCCCACTCCTGTTGACTCACGGTCGCAACTGACTGAGCTCAGTAGAAAGTGCTGATGGCGAACAGATGCGCTCGTGTGTGAGTAAGTTGGCTCAGCTCAGCTATGGCACTGAGAGGCTGGACGCCGCCGCCTTTCTTGGAGCTATTGCTTTTTCTCAGAGAGAATCAGTCGACATTCTCTCTCTCTCTCTCTCTCTCTCTCTCTCTCTCTCTCTCTCTCTCTCTCTCTCTCTCTCTCTCTCTCTCTCTCTCTCTCTCTCTCTCTCTCGCTCCCTCTCTTTCTCTCTCTCTCTCTGCTTCTCTCTCGCCCTGCAACTTCAAACGAGCCTCACGCTGGCACGCTGCGGATGCTGCCTGCACCAGCCGGGGAGTAAATGAAACGCTGAGACCCCTGGGAGGGTATATGGACCCTAATAGGAACCCGTAATTACGTGGCGATGCCTTTGTGCTGTTTCTGACGTTTCACAGACCGCCTCACTACTCTCCCATCCTCCTAAAGCTCTGCCCTCCACTTCAGCAGCACACACCACACCAACAACATATCCGCCACCCAGAACCCACTGATTAAGGCTTTTTAACGAACCTTTGGCAACCTTAACCAAACCCTTAATTGGAACCAGCGTCGCGAAGAGGTTCGCGAGCTCTGTAGGGGAGACATAATTATCACCCCGTGCGATGATAGAGCCAGTAAAGAGATTTTAACTGTCGGGGTACTCGGCCCCAGACCAAATCACTATTACTACACGGGATTCAGCCGTGGCCGATGGCTCCATTTTCCTCAGATATGTGGACATTGAAGGATAGGTCATACTGTAAATGCTATGTTTTGATAAAAGCTTTAAGAAGAGACATTGACAAGACATTTGTCTGCCTGTTGCAGCTATTTCATGGATGGCTACAATAGGTATAGTTCAACATAATCCCAACATAAAACAATGTCAACCAATATATTATTTTTAATAAACTGTGATGATGCCATTATTGTCATTGCTTAGCTATGTTTCCCCCTGGCACACAATGGTACAACCAAAGCCAAACCCCAGACATTCTAATAGGCTACACAAGCCGTTGTCTGACAAACATACATTTGTTAGACTTTGGGTTTAGAATTGGAGTCTCATTTTGTGCGCGCTCTGAGTGCCAGAGGGGCTAGGGGTGGGATGGGTCCATGCGTTCAGATGGCAGCTAGGAGTATACTATATAGGTTCCAAGCTGCTATAGACATCCCAGCTTCCATCCCCTGATCTGGGAAAAGAACACTTGATGCCATCAAAGACACGTGATTGAATCCAGATGTGCTGCTTTAGTTCTTTCCATGTATTTAATTTAATGAAGGCGTGAGGGTAAAGTAGACTTTTTCATCATTAGTTTCTCCTCCAGATTCTCTTTTCCTGGCTACACGTCCATGCTGGTGCCAGCCTAGAAAGCCTCCGCAACAGTCTCGGCCTAAACCTCTTCTCTTCTCAATGTTCCATATACTATTTTCACTCCAGCTTAAAAAAATGTTATACGGGAAAGTTAGAAGCCTATCATTCGTGTTGGTCTGACCAAAAAGAAAAGTAAATGTGACTCCATGAAGTGTGCCATCCTATAGGTGCGACCTGACCTTTGACTTTTAGTGAATCAACATTGTTTCCATGTCATTTCAACCCCAAAATCAATGTGATGACATGGAATCAGTGGGAAACTGATTGGATTTGCAAAAAGTCATCAAAGTAAGGGCATTTCGTTTTTTTTCACCCAACTTTGAACCTAAATCAAATGAAATGTTTTGTTGATTTCACGTTGAATTTACGTTAGTTGACAACTCAACGAAATGTAAATCAAAACTTAACATTGAACTGATGTCTGTGCCTAGTGGGAGTGTACACCTAAGGAACCAACATTGATATATATATATATTTTTTTTTATCCCCAGATGGAATACTCATATGTATGCCTTGTTTAGTGTGGCACATGTATGTACAAATGTCGTATTCAATGTAGCTAAGGGAACTTTTATGAGCGGAGAATAGAGAATCGGTGTCAATGTTTTTATCTTAATAGTTTAAAAAATGGAGCTACATATTGTTGCCAAACGTTCAAGGCCCAAATCTTTGCACATCTGCAAGGGTCAAGCAAAACTGTTTTGCTCGATAAAGTTCAAATTTAAACAAAACGTTTTGTAATTCATATGTGTACTTAAAAAGCAGAAACATCGTTGCCCATCTTACAAGGAACCAAATATGCCCGTGCACTACAGGTGCATCTTTACGCACCCACGCAAATGTTTGGAATCTTTTTTTTAAACATAATATGTTTATTATTTCTATTAATTATTTAACCTTGTAAAACGTAATAAGCCCAGATTCACCGACATATTACGAACAATGGTGAATATTAAACTAATTTAATGTAAATGGGAAGCGAGGAAAGTGAGACGTGCTGTCACCATGAAATACCATTATTGTAGCTATTATTTGCCCCCTATTGTCTTAATGTAACGTCCTTGAATTCGCAGTTTCAATAAGATAATTTGATCACACACTTCACGCTTACTTTTGGCCTGTTATTTTTCATTAAAATTCAATCATTGTTTCGTGCATCTAAGGAATTAACTCTGGTTATTAAAAGAGTAGCTACAGGAATAACGTATTGTAATAGGATCATGTTGATATGTAGGCCTGTTTGTGAAAGCATCTGTAGGTAAATATAGGTTACAGTGAATCGTATAGACACGTCATAGAAAGACCTCTGTAGCTCAATTGGTAGAGCATGGCGCTTGTAACGCCAGGGTAGTGTGTTCGATCCCCGGGACCACCCATACGAACAAATGTATGCACAAATGACTGTAAGTCGCTTTGGATAAAAGCGGCTGCTAAATGGCATAGTATTTATTATATTACGTAAAAAAAAAAAGTATTCCGTTTTTCAAGCTACAATAATTGTGTACCACAATTAGGCCTACAGTGCTGAAAAAAGTAATACAAAATGAATGTTTGGGGAGCTGTTTAGACAATGACGGGAAACACAGAAACTGAAATAATAATAATATGAAATAGTAATAATAATAACCAAATGGTTTAAAATAATTGTGCATCAATGCACCATAACAAGGCCTTTTTAATTAATTTAAATGTAGATGTATAGAGCAATGACATGAAAATATGCATGCTCTAAAATGTATTTCCATTATTTGAGAAGCATGAAACCGTTGCCTACAGACGAGGGCAACAGCAGCGGTTGGCTTTATAATCAGAATCAGCGCGGGTGAATTAATTTCACTCGCGCAGGGCTTTGTAAACTCTGTGTGTTGTTTAATCCGGAGCAGATTGTTTTTTATGTCGGAACACCACACACAGGCAGTTCGCAATTAACGCTCTGAGTTCTTCTCAAATAGAGGCAGAGAGAGAGAGAGAGAGAGAGAGAGAGAGAGAGAGAGAGAGAGAGAGAGAGAGAGAGAGAGAGAGAGAGTGTCTCATGTCCCTTCAGCCAGAAACCAGCTCTGTCCCAAACGGCAAAGAGGGGACTGAAATTACACACACACAATGACGCACCCGCAATACCGTTATCAATACGATCTAAGTGGAAACTGTTGTAGTAAATTATATACTGTTATTACCTCGAACCAGTTAAAATCAAATAGCTTCTGTATGATAAAATGATTTAGAGGATCTCGATTAGAAATGGCCTATTTTGATTATATTGTTATTGAAAGCATCTGCCAATTGTAGATTCTAATGTTGTATTCAGAACATGGTGCCTGCGCGAGGGATTTGCATTTCAACAGGTCTGACGATGAGAATTCCCTTGTTGCTGCAATCAGGGATGGAGAGGAGGGGGGTGGGGGCTGTAGGCAACACATGGTATCCCGTACAGAATATGGAGAGTCAACAAGGAGGCCATTTACTCTCAATTAGGTAAATAAAGGCGGACAGGGGCCAACGTCCTATACCAATCAGCACCAAGGGTCACTGGACAGCACTGCGGCCAGCCAGCCATCCCGGCCGACAGAGACGTATGCCGCCACCTGAGATGAGTGCAAGTTATTCAGCCAAGGGAAATGGAAACTTTTAGCTAAGACACCACAGAATCAACAACAATGCAATAGAAAAACACAAAGTGTGAGTTTTCATTGGGGGTTTCATAAGCGCTGGTTGGTAGACCATAGCTGCAAGTAGCCTTGTCAATGTCAATCAATGCACATTATCATTTCATTACAATTCAGTCATTTAGCAGACGCTCTTATCCAGAGCGACTTACAGTTAAGTGAGTGCACACATTTTTTTTTCTTCATTTGAATAAGTAACGAAAATTCTAACTTTAGACCATCTGAAATCATATTCGATAGACTATCGACTTTCGTTCAATAAACTATAGGCCTAGCACAGTTTCTAAATTAATCATTGCAATACAAATGTCATGTTTTAAAGAGGAAAGGGAGATGTCTGAGTCCAACTGTGTCTATTCAAATAGGTTAGTAGTAGGCTAGGCCAAGTCTCAATTATTATTCTACTGCTGATAGTCGTTTTCAGGCGCTGTCTATTTGCCCAATAGTATTCCAGCCTCACTATCAACATGAAAATGCATAGCAAAAACAACATTTTCTCCAAAATGTAAATTCAGGGCATATATATATATATGCCTAGCTACATCTGGCTGTGGCTAACACATAGGCCTACCCATATAGAAATAACTTATTGGTAAATAACTTGATCCAAGAATCCCAAATATAGGTCACACATTGGCTTGTTAGAGCCTTTACCATAAACATTCGTTTTTACCGCCCTAATTAAACTGCATAGATAGATTATGCAGTGCAGTTATAATTGAACTCTCCACCATTAAGTTTAATTTACAAATAATTAACAAATATCAGTTGTTTAATGTCAGTGTACTTTTTCTTGATAGGCCTGACTTGAAATTAAACGTGTACTTTTCCCTATATATCTTGAGAAATTGTTCGTGGTGGAACCAGCCTGGTTTCTTTTAATTAATGAATAGGCTATATTATTTTAGTCTCATGGAACCAGGTTGATCACTGCGTTCACAAGTGAAACAGAATGGTGAACGCAGCGATCAGCCTGGTTCCATCAGGCTAAAATAATAGAGCCTATTCATTAATTAAAACATTTGGGCATAGGTTATTGGTCCTATGCCTTAATTATTAATGGTTTATGCAAATTATATTCATTTAATTATTGGGCCAACATTTCCCATAGCCCACAGTGTCAACGTCAAAATTCAATAACGCCGATGAGCCAGATGGCGGAGATTTTCAGTAAAAGTTGATCTCACCGCTTCTCTGTGGTCGGTTCTCGGGTTACACGGCTTTTCTCGACCTGTATAGGGACGCTAGCAGCACATAAATCACACAGCGCTCTAGAAGTCCGCCGCTCTCTGAAGTTGTTGGGCCCTACCGCCTCACCAAACCAAATGGCTAATAGTCTATTCCAATTCGTGTTATTGTAGTCTTCTACCTTATAGATCTCATAATCTTTGGGCCAATACCCCAATTATACTACCGCTGAATTATCGAAAACCCGGCATCTATAGAGCTAAATGAAAAGACTCCATGTCAGCTCTGATTTTTCCATTATGATTTATCCCATACAAGAAAAGTCGCTATGCTATTTTCTGAGGAAGCATAGGAGTACATGCACTAGGCCTACACGCAACTAGCCTTTAAACATCCGTCAGTAAATAACACAGTGTTTTTATTAAAATAAATTATTAAAATATAATTTCAGGCAGGATATCAAACGCATTAAAGCGTTGACCTGTGAGGTGGCGGGGACATTCAGTGGTCACTCACTACTCGCTAACTAATTAAAATACTGGGGTTTATGGTCTCTCTTTCTGACGGCCAGATGTGACCAAATCGCTGTAAAATCTCAGAGCGGTTTACAGAACACTTACTGCACTTTAAAATGACTTGAAAAAGCGATGTGAGTTCGAAAATATTCTCAGTTAATTCACACGGATACCCTTAAGCAGTTCTGTTAGAAAGACAGACTGAAACAGATCATTCAAAATACCTCTTTCTGATGATGAAAATGACAAAACCAAAACCTATAAATCAGATTTCAAAGACATACAGGTTTCTTATCCATTTAATTATAATACTTTATTCACCTTAATTCAACAGACCAAGATGACATGAGCAACATATAACCAAGTGTTACTGTTAACAGGTTTTGTGCAGCTGCATTTTATGTTCAGAATATATGTGTTTTCTTTTTAAAAATTAAGGAGAAAACTTACCTAAATACAAATTGCAGTGTAAAATAAATGTTTAAATATCCAACCGCTATAAATAAGGCCATTTCAATACAAAACTACAGATCTGTTGGATTTAAACATATTCACATTAATGTGTCATGTTCAAGGTTAAGAAAAAAAAAAAGTATACACAATTGATCATTTGGTACCGGGGCACACACAGGGACAGAAAGTTCGTTTTACACACAAAACAGCTAGCTGCAGCACACTCATATTAGATAAATGTTATACTGCTGTAGACACATTTGTTCCATAGAGCGCCACTGAAAACCAGCTCTTCTAAAGCCATAATGGTATGTCACGGCAGTAACGTGCTGAGGAGCAGTTTCCTCTGAGAGCATATATACATACATTATGAGATATCACTTTACCATTCCTTAGGAAGCCTGCTGGAGATCTGCAAGTCTTTACCAAGGAAGCCCACTGTGACTGGTGCATACTGAGTTGGGTTTTGGGAAATACCAGCACTTGATAGCAAAACCCCCAAGAAAATATGTTGATCTACAACATACACACAGACTAGATCTGGTACAGTGCTGCTTTACTGAACATTAGTATATTATATTCATCTGTACCCTGGAACTGCACAGAGGAACATTCAGGGGGTAAAACGTTAACCACCTCCTTTCAAACCAGACAAACTCTAAAACGGCTTTGCTTTCAATTCTACATATTGCTTCGCTAGACGTGACGGAGAGAGAGACAGAGAGAGCATTCACTTCTGATGTAAAGCCACATGTTGTGTAAAAGAAGAGCTTGAGGCAGAGCATTTTAGACACAGCCACGTTAAGAGCACACAGACAAAGTGCCCCCGACAAACAGTAACAAAATACTAATGGTCGCTCCACAATGAAGACTCAGTTCTCAGTGAGCTAGTTCTCAGGCATCACATGTATACAAATCTGGGGAATACTGGACAGCATTCCCTCCCTCTTCCTGGACCTTCTCCACTCCTGCTTCTCTGTAGCACTCATCCTCTATTTCTCCTTCTCCAGCTTCTCCCCCCTCTTCCTATCCTCCTCCTGTTCCTCCTCTGTGGCCTGGAGGTGTAGTTGCTGCAGCAGCTCCTCCAGCTTGTGGGCCTTTCGGAGCTCGTTCTGCGGGATGATGGTACACAGGTGCTCTGTCAGTTGCTCTTTATCTCAGTCTTCTTCTGTAGGTCCAGCTTGGCGGTCACATACTCAGCCTCCGCCTTCTCATAGCGCTTCCTGAACAGGAAAGGAGAGAAGACATGTGGATTGGGGAATATAATTAGTAGTTTATTTCGTAGGTATTCATGGAATTTCAGAGAAAAGGGACTGCATGTGTAGCGCGAGAGCTGTTTAGGGCGGCAGGGAGCCTTAGCGGTTAGAGCGTTGGGCAGTAACCGAAAGGTTGCTTGTTCGAATCCCCGAGCCGACAAGGTGAAGAATCTATCTATGTGCCCTTGAACAAGGAAGGCACTTAACCCTAATTGCTCCAGAGTCGCCGTTGTTAATGGCAGACACTGGCCGGGACCCCACTCTCCAAGGGTGTTGCTAGAAACACAAGCATTTTGCCACACCTGCGATAACATCTGCAAATATGTATACGGCGACCAATAAACTTTGATTTGAGGGAGAGTTGGGATATGCAAAAAACACATTTTCAATTCACACATGCATAATTATACACACTTGTGTGAAATAGGACACATATAATCACCCACCAAATTATTATTATATTTAGGGCCTCACCGGGGGTTTCCATTGAAAGCGATTAAATGCTTTTTTTTGCTGACGGTTGATCGTTATGTGGGGTTTATTTTTTTCAAGGAGCAAGCCCCCAGCATGCTAGCTAGTGCTAGGTATCTACAGCCAATCCAGCACTGGCTGGAAGCTTCAATCAGTGTAGATGAAGGGGAGAAGACAGGTTAAAGAACGATTTTGAGACATGGATTGTGTGTGTGCTATTCAGAGGGTGAATGAGCGAGACAAAATATTTAAGTGCCTTTGAACGGGTATGGTAGTAGGTGCCAGGCGCACCGGTTTGAGTGTGTCAAGAACTGCAACGCTGCTGGGTTTTTCACACTCAACAGTTTCCCGTGTGTATCAAGAATGGTCCACCACCCAAAGTACATCCAGCCAACTTTATACAATTGTGGAAAGCATTAGAGTCAACATGTGCCAGCATCCCTGTGGAACGTTTGACACTTTGTAGAGTCCATGCCTCGACAATAAGAGGCTGTTCTGAGGGCAAAAGGGGGTGCAACTATGTTTTGTACACTCAGTGTATATTGTGATGTATTGACGGAGTACTCTGACTAACCTGTAGGAGGCAGTGTTTCCAGGGTTGAATGGAGGCAACAAAATCACAGATGAGCACAGCGCAGACTGTTGTGCTTTTTTGGTGGTGATACAAATAACAGTAATGCGTGTTAGTAAATTAATTGGGTGAATTAACTGAGCATGAATAGACTAACATATTAGTTTGTGTTTGGGGGCTCCTAGTATCCATAGTAGGGTCCAGGCCAACTCTCCTGCGTGAAAAATCATCTTGATTGAACAAAAGCCCATCTCTGTGGCAAGGATTCTGCATGTTCTCCATTTAGTGTTTACCTTGCAGTGTTATAGTCCCAGCCGGCCTGCTCGATCACACCTCTCAGGATGCCAATGTCGTTGGACACAATGTCGTCCAGTGTCTGCAGCTCTTTCTGGATCCTCTTCAGCTTCACATCCTCGGCCTGGGTCTGTTTGGATCTGGGTTCCCACAAAACAGGAAGTTGGGTGAATTTGTGCATGATGTGTAACCAGAAAGTTTCTCTATCTAACAGAAAGTGTCCATACAAAACAATTGGTATCAGAGAATAGTTGGGACTGATAATGTGAACTATGAGACCTGTCTTTACTTCTCAGCGACGGCTATCTTGCACTTTTCCTCTCTTCTGTCATCTCTTGGTCTTGCTGAAGCAGCTCTATGCGAGTCTTCTCCCGCCTATAATGGTCTTAGTGAGCTCCTCCTCGGGTGGTTGCACAAGTGAGCCAGGGCCACTCTTTTGCGGAGCGGCTAATTGGAGGGCTCTCTCTCGCTGCCGACTCCGGTTAGTAGGAGCCGGTTTCAGTCCACGACCTAAAGCCACAGGCACCGCCTGGTTTGATAAATGAGGTGAAAAAACCACCAGCTTAAAATGGCCAAAGTTAATCACATTTCAGCAAAACTTTCTTCTAAGCCACCATCTTTGTTTGTTGATGCCACTTCAAGAACCCAAAAGGCAAAAAGGACCAGTGAAGGGACATTAGAGTAACGCCTGTTTGAACACGCAAAAATACTAAACTGAAATTGGTTAGTGAGCAAAAAGCTTACTTTTTTATAATGAAAAAAGTAAAATACTGGCATATACTTTGGATGCTACTATGCTTCAGAGCCAGAGTTTGTCCATAAGCACTGGCCTAGGGTCAGATTTCTCTGACACCATTGAAAGCAAAAATATATATATATATTTGCCAGCCTTCAGAGAAAACTTTTGGCTTCATAGGTCTGTCACTGATTTATTTGTCAGACTCTGTACTCAATATTTTGTAAAAACAAAAGGACAAAACAAAACATGGATTATTATATTTTGCCAAGGAATATTTAAATCATTTCACAGGAAATATTTGTTTATCTCATCTTCCTCTTTCCCTAATCAACCTTTATCCTAATCATCTCCTTCAATTGACCCTTGGGGGTCAGAGGAGTCAAAGGTAAATTAAATAATTGTTGCAATGTTCAACAGCATGAAGTTCAAATAGACTGGATAGAAAGCAGAGGGATCAGAGCGATATGTCAGGGATCTATGTTTATACTTCATCAGTCACAGTAGACCTATCACTTTTTACTGTGGAGTCAATGGACTTAATGACATGGGTAGGATGAAGAAATGGGCTCTTGTCAAAGAACGGCATCTAGGGTACTTCTAGAGGAAGAGGTCTGTGTGCCTGGGACAATGACGTCTTCTGTAAGGAGATAGAGTGACTGTAAAGTAGATTATGATAATGCGTCTGCTACAATTTTGGGGAGAAATTGAAATCAAGTCATAAAGAGGCATGCAGTAACATGCACCGTAAAATCGCATTTAGAAGGTCCAACCTGTTTAAGATTTGTTTTCTTCATAATCAGTGAAGTGTAGAGGCAAGCAGTAGTAATCATTCCATTATCCTGACAGTAGGCTGATATTAATTCAACACCGCTTTTATGGGTTGTTTCAACTATACTAGTGCTGTGTTGTGAGAATGCTATTGTGGCAAACTGAGAGATAAGTAATACGGAAAGAACTAGGAGTATTTTTTACATTTAAAACTACAACATTTACTAGATTACTACACTACACACGTTTTAAATACTTCTTAAATGATAATTGTTAGGTCCAGATACTGTACAACCTTGTCTTCCAGCTATACTGTATCTATAATCAATTACTAAGAATAGGCCTGTTCAGAAATAATGTGTGTGTGTGTGACCATATACTGAATATTCAGAGCAACAAAAAAAAAACAATAATAACCTGCCCTTGGCAAATAAAAACTGGCCTCCACGTCTTTTTTGCATCTGGGGGCCAATCATCCGAGTGCTCAAAGGCGAGAGACCTCAGGAGGGAATACATCTGGGGTAGAGAGGAGCCAGAGAGAGCCAGGCATGGCCAGGCTGCAGCATTGGGGCTAGATGGCAGCCAGGGTTAGGAAATACCTGCTGCTGGTCATTTAGAGTGTGTTGGCTCCTTGTGTCAGGGCAGGGTAGGATGGGGCGGCCATGATCTTGGTTCCCTCATTACTGGGATGTATGGGTGGGTGGGGGGCTTATTATAGAGAAGACATACAGGGACACAGAGGGGTTATAGGTGGGGGAATGTGAGGGTGGGGGAGGTTGATGGGTTTTGATGATGACTGTGCGGGTTCAAAGGTTCAAAGTGTCAGAGGACATGTCTGCAGCTTACGTGTGTAGGGGTAGGGCTGTGTGTGTGCAAGCCTAGAAGAAAGTTCTCTGTGTGTGCACCCCCTTTTTATATACAGCGACTAAGCATCAATTTAGAGTGTGTTTATTTATGTCTTTAGAACAGAACCTCTCTGAAGGCTGAATGCAACGAATAAATACAATCTATGTCCATAAGGTCCATAACAGAATGTTACAGAATGGATGGGACATCTGGGACGTTCATGAAAAAAGTACAATTTATTTATCATCAACTTCAATCCCCCTCATTCATAGCCAGGATTAATTTATACTGTTGTACAGATGTTAGAACAAAGAAGCTACTGACATCATGATTTCTTACAGCCCAATAAACTAAAAAAACATGCATGTACAGTAACATACAGTACAAGAAAAAAGGGAAGAATTCTCAGGGGACATATTATCTTCAGTAACACTTCTACAGTATGTCAGAAGTCAGATTGAACCAAATGTTTTGCTGCAGATTTAAAAAAAAAAAAAACATAAAAAGCTTTCTCTTATAGATTATGCTCTCTCATGAAATACGATTCAGTTTAGTCAGAGAAAGACGAACAGGGGAATAAAATAAACATTGTGTGTGAAATGGAGTAGTACACAATAGACCCTCTCATTTTATTTGCTTAAAATAAAGGAGACAATTCATATAGTTAGTATAGTGTTGAATAGACAATGAATTTGTATGTCAAATGGGATTGCGCATTATCATCACAATCAATCAGGTTTAATAAAATAAAATAGAGTGACTAATAGGGGTGAGGGGGGGTTGAAAGCATAGCCATGCAGCAAGTGCACGCGTCGCCCTTGCCCTCACTGTCATCCATAAGCTTAGCTTTTAGTCAAACAGGAAACGGGCCAAAAAATAAACACCCAATCTGAGGGGACATATCTCAGAGAGAGGGCTCAGTGGAAATTGGGGATGATTAGGGGTCAAACCGTACCCGTAGCTCCGAGGTGGAAGCAGGGGCGCATCTAATTGCTGTTTAAAAAGCCCATATGTTTGGGCCTGCTCTGACCCCTATGTCCCCCTTCCCTATCCAACTCCAGAACAGCCTTCCTGCTCCTGTTCCAAATTTGTTCTTTAATTTCCATCCCTGACCTCTCGTCCTGCCATCTGCAGTGAGTTTGGAGCGCTAACCACAGTTGACATCATGCACACTGTTTCTCTTTATCTCTCTCCCCCTCTCCCATTCTCTGTCACTCTCTCTCTCTCCCCCATTTTCTGTCTCTCACTCTTTCTTTCACTGTATCTCCCCACCCCCCACATACACAATATTCATATCTCCTCTTTTGGAAAAGAGAAACATGGGAACGATCTGCACACTTCCCACTCCTTTCTTATCCCTCTCCCCCTAGTCTCTACCAACTTCTATTGGTCTCCCTTTTTTCCACTCTCTCCATTCCATCTCCCTCATTAGGTGGCCCTGCACTGGAGTAGTTTCAGATATATTAATATTCAATATACTATACGTTCAGCTATGTGGGTTTTGCGGTCCCAGGGAGTCATTGCCAGAGTCCCATTGCCATCATTATTTCTCCCAAAGTGGCTCTATTTTTGTGCCATGCTAAACCATTGCCAAACCCTCTTATAGCTCTTGGAGAGTCTTCCTCTCACACATCTGAACAGAGGTCTGTGCTCCAGGCTCAGAGGAGTCACACCTGTAGAAAATAGAAACACGGTGAAACAATGGAGCCTAGTCTATCTGTCTCACCTGCTTCCCCGCTCCTCTGTTTCCCCTGGCAGCCCTCCTCTGTGTGGCCCTTTGTACTCACTTGCCAGCTGATTGGACAACAACCAGGCTTTCAACAGGCTCGCAGCCACAGCATTTAGCCCCAGCCCTGACATCCAGCTAGCTTCAAGCCCTGGCAAGGGAGCCAAACCCCCAGGCCCCAGCCCCAGAGCTAAGCAGCAGGTTGGAGATAGAGATGGAGGGGATCCAGCATCCAGCCTGTCAGATTGTGTTGAGATGATGTTGGTAAACCATAAACAGTGGGATGGGACAGATACACAGAGAAAGAAAGAGAGATGGAGCATGGGCCAGCCTGGGAGGAGATGTGGAGATGCGTAGATACTAAGTTGATTAGGGAAGAGACATGGAGTTGGAGAGACATGTTGTTGATATGGGGAGGTGGTTGAATGAATAGTTTTGACTTAGACTGGACTTAATAACAGCTACAGATGACTCACAGAGTACTAAGCTCCCATACAGCCAACTGTCATGGCGATGACAACTGGTTAAATGGGCTGCTACGGGCTTCGTCCAGTTTCCTAAAGAGCCTAGATTGTGGAATCAGAGAAGCACATGAACAGAGAAAAAAAGCACTTCCACTTGCAGTCACAAAACACTACTCAAATACAAACACACTAGTTGCCTCCAGTACAGCCCCACAATTTGGACTCAAAATCACATTCAATCAACTTATTTTTAACTATGGCACATTTAATCTGCTATTGTTTTATTCATTACTGGTTTAATTTATTTGACTGTGGGTCTGGCGGACTCACTGTCTCTCATCTCAGCCTTGTCCCAGAGTAGAGCTCACATCTGGCCCCAATCAGGAGAGAGAAAAGAAGGGGGGAGAGAGAGAGAAGACGGGGGGAGAGAGAGGGGCAGAGAAAGAGAGAGAGAGAATGAGAAAGATAAATTAGAGAAAGAAAGTGAAAGAGAGAGAGAGAGAATGAGAGAGAGAGAACGAGAGAGAATGCATGCTCATTAGCAGTCCATGGTTTGGCAGTAGTCTTCATGTACAACGGTCCCTCATCCATCTCTCCCCAAGAGTTACGGTAGCCTTGTATAAGGCCTCTATTCCAACCCATTCGCCACACCCTTATTACCTGATTTAATTAGATTTTAAACGAGGGGAACAAAACTAACAGGAGTCATGGATTGGGTTGTTAGCAACCTCAGGGCTAAGGAGACCCTGCTGAGAGCAGAGAGTAGAGAGTTATGTGCCAAAAAATGCCTAATTTAATTAGAAAGGCCTATGGTTCGTGTTCTGTGGATATAAAGAACAAAATGAGTCATTATTCCAACTAAAGATCTGTTATAATCTCTCCCTAATTTACAGCATTTTGCCTGGTAGGGCTGTTTTTGTTCTATATAAACAAGTACATAAAATGTATTTGATTATTTTTTTTAAAACCCTCCTTGGAGACATAATGAAGTTATAAAACAATACAAATGTGGGTTGAAATGAGAGGTCGTACACTTTGGGGAATTACAAATGGATTGATAGAAAACATTCCTGTAAACAATCGTATCTAAAAGTAGGAAGGCAGGCAGTGATGTTGGTTGGCCTCAAGACATCTGTTGTGATTGGATACAGTTGTTGTCTGGCTTCTAAACTAATCAGGAAAAGTTGCATGATGGAATCTCTTGGAAGAATGAATAAAAATATGCTTCAATGGAGAGTTATAAGATCAGGCAAAAATGACTTTGAGGGAGGATATATCCAGTAAATTGCATAAGCATATACTGTAAACCCCCACACACACACACTGGCGCACCGGACACCCCCACAGCCCCCGGAATGCAGGGGGAGGGGGCCCACGAGCTCTAGGGGCCCATGCGCCTGTCATCGATGTCTATTTAAAAAAAAAATTATTTAATAAATCATTTTGACAGTAACCCTCCAAGTCATTCATATACCTTTTTAATTTCCATATGTACTAGGAAGCTAAGTGTTTGTTTCTTGGGCTTCTGGAATGTGACTGAAGAAGTGCCGCAGGCCGTGAAAACGAAAAAATGTAACTGATTGAAAGCATAAGGGGACATTGGTGAACAAATGCCGTGGTCAAGGTTATGACGGTACCAGTGCAATGACTGGAGCACATATCAGACCGAGAGCCTAATACTTCTTAGGTAGTTCTTTATAAGTTTTAATTTAGAAAACGATCTCTCCGCAGAAGCAACAGTTACAGGGATGGTAAAAACAGCTTGATTGCCGTAGCATCATCAGGGAAACTGGGCAGAAGTGGGTGGTGCTTTAAATACAGCAGTTCTGCAACATCTTTAATTGAGCTTCTCATTCTCCTTAATTGCCACCTCAACACGTTACGGAAAGAGATTAACTGTACAGGAAGCTCTGGGGACAGGTCGTCTGGATACTGGACAGCCATTAAATTGGCAGATGCAAACAGATTATCATCTTCAGCGGACAACAGTAAGGGCTTGAACAAAAAAAGCGGTTTGCAGTTTCATTCATACTGGTGAACTGGCGTTTGAGTTGTGTGGTTGAAATATCAAGTCCCTTATCTCTGGTATATCTTGGCATGCATCATTCAAGACTAAGTTTAAATTGTGTGCAGCGCAATGGACATATAATGCACAATGTCTCAGGAAAGACTGTCTGGGTTGGCAATACTCAGTATAGAAAACAGTCGGGCCCGCAACCTGGACCTACAGGCTGTGGTGAAAACATTTGCACACAAGAAAAAGAGGACTTCAGGAGACCAGGGGAATCTCTCTAGTTGGATATCATTTGATTTAATTGAATTTACCTTGAATATTGCAGCGCATTTGTTTAGGCTGTTAGCCAGACAAAACCTGCTGAGTTTATGCCCGTACTGATAGGATGCATGTGGTGAGAGTGAGTGATCAGTTATTTACAACAGCAAACTACTCAGTTGGTAAAGCGGTGCGAGGACACAAATCCAACAAGCCATGGCTTCCCCCAGAGGAAAAGACAAGGAGCAACTTGGAGATGCCAACGAGAGTAATGAACAGTTAAAGGATATCCAAGAAAACATAGCTAAAATGCTCTCAATGCACACAAAAACAAACAAACTGCTACATTTTGTTGTTAAAAAAGTATATTAGCTCGAAAAGAAAGTAGAGCCTGTCATGTCAGACATGCACATACAAGGCGTGCACATGAACGAACAAGACAAAAAAAATTTGCCGTCTGGAAACAAAGTTACAAACTTTACAAGATTAATTGGACCAGCAAGGAAACAGAATGAGACAAAAGAACATGAGAATATTGTCCTTACCGGAAGACGAGAAAAAAGGAGACCGTTCCAGCTACGTGGTCAAACTGATATCAGAGGAACTTGACGTGGATATATCACCAGAGGATCTGGAACAATGCCAATTGGATTGGTGTGAAACAGAAGAACGCTAAATACCCTCTGCATGGTAATCTTCAATCTGTGGAACTATCAGATCAAAGTCAACATTCTGAAGGCACAGGGGGGAAAGGAGATCAAAATCACCCCTAGAGAGACAAAACTCGTCAGTGAAGAGCACTTTTTGCCAGTCCAGTCTGGTCCAGCGACGGTGGGTTTGTGCCCATAGGCGACGTTGTTGCCGGTGATGTCTGGTGAGGACCTGCCTTAAAACAGGCCTACAAGCCCTCAGTCCAGCCTCTCTCAGCCTATTGCGGACAGTCTGAGAACTGATGGAGGGATTGTGCGTTCCTGGTGTAACTCGGGCAGTAGTTGTTGCCATCCTGTACCTGTCCCGCAGGTGTGATGTTCGGATGTACCGATCCTGTGCAGGTGTTGTTACACGTGGTCTGCCACTGCGAGGACGATCAGCTGTCCGTCCTGTCTCCCTGTAGTGCTGTTTTAGGCGTCTCACAGTACGGACATTGCAAATTATTGCCCTGGCCACATCTGCAGTCCTCATGTCTCCTTGCAGCATGCCTAAGGCACGTTCACGCAGATGAGCAGAGGCCCTGGGCATCTTTCTTTTGGTGTTTTTCAGAGTCAGTAGAAAGGCCTCTTTAGTGTCCTAAGTTTTCATAACTGTGACCTTAATTGCCTACCGTCTGTGAGCTGTTACTGTCTTAACGACCGTTCCACAGGTGCATGTTCATTAATTGTTTATGGTTCATTGAACAAGCATGGGAAACAGTGTTTAAACCCTTTACAATGAAGATCTGTGAAGTTATTTGGATTTTTAAGAATTATCTTTGAAAGATAGGGTCTTGAAAAAGGGACGTTTCTTTTTTTGCTGAATTTAGGTCAACAACTCAGGTTTTGAATCCAAACAACTCAGATGCATATAAAAGGCTCTAAGATTCATTGTTCTTTCTTATTTGTTCCTGACCTGCTGTGGTGATATACTCTTTCTTTCTTTCTCTATCCACCCCATGGACGTTTGGGGCATGGCCTTTCAGGCTATGGTTTCTCTCTCTCTCTCTGAC